TGTTCCGTATTGGTGGATTCCATACGAGCGGTAAAGTTGGGCGGGTAAAATCAATCCAAGTGTGATTAACTTCGCGGCGCAAGACTAGGCGGTTGTGGCTCATGTGGTAAAGCGTTGGCTGCGTAAAGGCTTTCCTGCTTTGCGGCTTCGACTGCGGCCAAACGCCGCGAGTTTCTTTATAGTTAGGTCAACTAAATTAGACAAATCTACCAAAATCCCCTAAATGATGACAACGATGTCGCAAATGAAAAACATCCATTTATGTATATTGCACGTTCGAACTCAAGCTGAGTATGAAATTGTCCGCAAATAACATGGTATATCCTAATGGGGGAACGGTTGGCGTGGTGCGGAAAAACTGAAAGCACACAAAACGACTAGCGGAAAACCAAAGCGATAATATACAATGTCGCAGATGACACGCCGGCACTTTCAGGTCGTATTTAATAAAGCAGTTTCAAAATAATATTAGAGAAAGATAGGGAGTAGCACGTCTGATCATGTGCAACTATCGGGCAGCATGATGCAAGGGCAAATTCTGTGACTATGGAGATCCCACTGAATCTTTGGACTGGTTTAGAGAATGGAGAAATGTCAATTAAAAAAAATTAAACGATAAATTTTCTCGCCAATTCATCTTTTGAAATTGAACGTCAGACATGATAGCCTAGACGACAGCTTGGCACGCTACGAGGTATTTAACAAACCCTTATAAAATAATATCACTTAAAGTTTGTCAGTAGGATGTTTTATATGATTAAGTTTCGTGAGAGGTTGATACAAGGGGGTAAGTGTTAGGTTCTACTGGCGTGGCCAGATGACAGCAGACAATAAATTGCCACTCAGCGACGACGATTATGACAGGAGCAGACACAAATAATTATTAACTAATCAGCGATAAACACACATGGTTTCCCAAAGTTAACACCCCCCCAACTAAGGTCACAAAAAGGCAACCAGCTATCAGGCTGAAGTCGGCAAAGTAACAGTTGCAGGGAGAGGGAGAGGGACGAAGAGAAATGCAGGTCGATGGACACAGCCTACTTCTGACTTATTCGGCCTTCATTCAGCCAATCCTACCCCTGACTACCAACTGGGACTGAAACCAAATACCTACATTCGAGTACGGCGAAGATAGTCTATAGGATGGGCCTAGCAGATGAAGCATAATAACTTCATCGAATTGAAGCTCATCAATGCTTGACTACCTGTCATCCTCTGTCGCTGTAGATCGGGTCTTTATCCAGTCCAGAAGGGATACCTACCGATTGGTTTGGCTTCTGGAAACGAACTATCTCTGAAAGAAGTACTGTAACCGCGCTCGCAATCCCTAAGTAGGTTAGAAGCTGCACAGTCTAGCTTTTAAAGAATACTTAAACTTACTGTCACGTTGTATTGTCCAATGTTGTATTGAGAGGTGAGGGAGCAGTTGTGGCGACCGGCAGTCTTACAGGCGAATCTTATATCGTGCGTATGACCATCATCCCAGTTGGCCACGCCAATAAAATCAGATGTACCCAGTGTTCCATCAGAGCAGGCGAAAGTAATAAACAGATCTGTTGGTAATGGGGGCGTTCCCCCCATATGACTCATGGAAATCAAAATATTTTCTAAAAGAAACAAAATATAATATTATCACAAATATCTTTGTCGGTAATGTCCTTCTACATATATCTATATATGAAGTAGATCGGATGAACACCCCAGTTCCATATCTATATATATATATCTTCTGAATGGTTGAGGAAATGTGAGACCCAGGTTACGTTACTGAATAGAATATGGTAAAACGTTCTCATGGACCACAACTGCGAACGTGTGGCGCAGTGTCTAGAGCGTTGGACTTCTAACAAACAGGGTCTCGGGTACGAACCTCGGGTGGGGCGCTAATTGGGGTTGGGTACGGCTGGCCTATGACGGCTAATAAGTCAGAAATGCACATTCCAGTCTCCGTTGTGTTTGCCGTTAGTATCATTCTGCATATATATATTGATAGTTCAGACTTTTTGAAATCTCACGCGAGGCCATCGTCAGGGAATAAGGGAATTTTACGATTTTTCAATTACCTGGGCGCATGTTGTCTCTACCATTCGGAATAGGAATAGTTGGAAAAGGCAAAGTGAAAAAAAGTATCTTTGGATGGGAGAGGCTATGACTTGATAGAGGCAAAGATACCCCAATATAATCAAGTAGTCCTACTGGTAGTGAGAACTTCATATGATACAGTGCGACCAGTTTGCAGGAATTTGTCTTCCCTAGTGTATGTGCAAAGACAGCGACTAAAATCAACGATGAAACAAATATCTTTCATTTACGATGATTCGATGGACCAACCGTTTGGCGTCAAAAACCCTTCAAAGCACCAAGTGCTTGACAAGGATGGCATGTGTAGGCAACTTGAGAAAACGAATCCTTTAGCACCCGAATGGTGTGATTATGCCTTTTACCAGCTGAAAGCCGAAGCGGTGGAATCTAAGGAAAGCACTGAGGAAACTCGTATTTCCGTTATGTTTTTTTTTACGGCTCCAGCAAGACGTCGGAAACAACGCGCAATTTAAACGATGCGAATTAAAGGGTGTGTGAACGGTTAGAGTACCGATGACTGAGCAGAGTAACACGAAACTTAACCACGGCAGGCACGCAAGCCCTTTCTCTAACCCCAACACCAACTTTGCGTTAGCTTCAATTCTAACCCTTAATACTCATCCTAAATCCTTGTTCCATGCCCAAACTCTTTTTCCGAGTCATAGAATTAACCCAGTTAATCTTTCTATTTAAATCAAATAAGTAGACAGTATGTATTAATATAACCATATGCTCAATAATTTCCTAAGGTGGAATGTGCGCAGACACTATGTAGCCAGGCTCAGGTGCCAAATGCCTAAGCAAGCGGGTTCAGCAGCCGCACATATTGCAGGTCTCCTTGTAGTAGGTGATCCGTCACATACCTGGCATTGCAACGTAGTGCACCGGAACGCTATAATTGATGGTAAAATCCGTATTGACCACCATGACGCCTACGGAACAATTTGTTGACGAGGAATTATCCTTGATGTCGAGCACATAGAAATGGAAGCCCAGGACTTTGGCTACGGCCGCAAACGTGCTGACAGCGTTGGGTGGCACTGTATAGAAAGGCAAAACAGTTGCGGTAAACACTTTTGGAAAAAAACACGTAGTAATTGATGCTGCAAGACTTGTGAATTTGAGAACCATCATTACAAGGAATCTAGAGGCGCTCAGATTGTGTCTTTTGCATGTTCTTCATGAATTTTGTTTCGTGGTCCTTTATGATCATAGGAAGTGGCCATTTATGCCATTAAATTTTCAGGGAAACGTTCCTAACGTTTGTGACGGCTTCTTAACTGCATGAGCCTGTTAACGGTCAGAGGTATACAGCAGATTGAAACTCACAGAATTTCAATGTGTAATAGCAAGGGTCACAGTTCAGTGTAAATAATGATCAACTGAAGGACACTACCTCAAATCAGTCTATAGGGAGAAGAGGGGGAGGGAGGAAGTCGGCGCATACTAAGTCGTGATGAAAACTAGCTGCCCAATTACCAAGGGAATTGTAGGTTGACCACGTGGATTGGCTGCTGGTACAGGTCGGGTTTCTCCCGCCGAACAAATGCTTAAATTAATTTTATACTACGCCACCCCTCTCATCTCTAGCTGACCGGCAGAAAGTCTACAAAGGTGAAACCCGTCTACCAGGCTAGCCTCGTTCTGGCCAATGTGTCCACGGTGCGTGGCACGCGGGTTCAAAAATAACTTAATTCTCAGGCCTGTTAAATAAGCAGTCGCAAACGCGTCTTCTAACACCAGGACCAGAGAGCCATATAGCCGAGCAGTCTTCATCCAGCGTGGATGAAGAGATTTCAAAACATAACGACCCGCAGGTTGGAAATCAAACAATTAGCGCACCAAGGGCCAACTATACTCCATAGGGGAGAGCCGTTAATCGTCCTAGGTATGCAATAGCATAGGGACTGTATCTTATAAGTACTGAAACTTCCTGTGTTTTAATTATCCCTTTCCGCTATGGTCTCTGAGGATGGATTC